GATTCCTCTAAAATAATTTTCATAACTTTAAATCCTCTTTAAATATTATTAAAACTAAAGGCAATCTTTTATATTCCTTCATTTTTAAATGAATGCTAAGTAACACTAAATAGTTCATTAAAATTAATTAGACTATATATTTAAATTATAATTACTTTTATGTAACATCTATAAGAATAGATTAAAATTTCCAAATTTATGTATGAAATGAAGATTACTATTAACTGATATTTAAGATTTTTGGAAGTAATTGGGTTTGATATTAGTAATTTTTTTCAGTAAAATCAATGTACTACTTATATCTGAGTGTATTTATTAATAATTGAAATGTTGAATACAATTAAACATATTGTATACATGGTAAATGAAACATATTTATTTATTATATTAAAATATTAGTATTATTGTTTGGTAAGTTTTGATCAATATAAAAATTTAATTACTTATGAATTTTGTTATATATTTTAGTATCCTCTTCATTTGATATTTATTTTGATAATAGTTTTGTACAACAAATTAAAATTTTATACCATGTAGCATCATTTTTGTTCTAATTGATATCAAATTCATTTGCATAATTTTCAAAAGACTCAATTAACTTATCAACATTGATTGTTTTATCAATTTAACATTCTTGTTATTTCAAGTATTAATACATAGAGATTGATTCCTAGAATTACTTGTTGTGTTTGCAAATAAGGATTACAAGTTGTTAGATTTCATTAAACATTAAATAATTGTAGAGAATAGAAAACTTTTGGAAAATCTCCTCTTAACTTTAGATTTTAGATTAATCTGCTGATTAATTTTTTATTATTTACAGTATTTCATATAATTCCATTAGCCTGTTGTTATCGTGGAAATTCCCAAAAATATTTTAGGATGACATCTTTAAATAAATTAAAAAAAATATATTTTAATTCAACTCATCCTAAATATTCTTAATAAGAATTTGTAATTCATTAATTGAAGCACTAAATAAATATTACGAAAAACATTATATGTTTATATCAATTAACATGGTAAGCGAAGATTTACTAATGTAAACAGCTAAATGATTAGCTTTAGGGTTTTGATAACTATTATTAATGTTTCTAAACTATTAGTTTGTTTAATGCTTTTAGAAATAGTGCTACATATTAAAATTCTTTGGAGAATCCATCGAATAATTAATTTTTGATGAAAAGGTTGTTTAATAGAATAATCCTTTATCAATTTTTAATTAGTGTCATTTTCCTTTGACATAGTAACACTATTTGCTTTATTTTTGTAGAAGATAAGTCTTAATTTAATCTTATTTTTAATCAACTAATTTTAAAGTGCTAATAATGCATTAAACGATTACATCAAACTATGTCTTAGAAAAAAAATATTTTAGGTCAATCTCATTCAATAATAATAGGAAAATACAATAAATAATATTGTGAATGAAATTGAAAAGTTGAATAAATTAAAGAAATATAGTAGAATAAAATAGACAAATTAGTAGATGAAATATGAAAATATTAATAAATTATTAATGAAAAATTTATGAATAACTAAAAAGTTCAACAGATGTCAAAAGAAATAAGAAAAGATTAATAGAAATAAATTGATTTCCTATTTTAATAATTAACATTAGAACTAAAAGAGTTCAAAAGAATAGTTTAAGGTGTTCCTCTAGTCTACATAACATAGGTTAGAAATAATTTTATCTATATAAAACAATCTTAAATCAAAAAAGTAAATACTATTTCATCATGATTTTTATTGATATAAATCAAATTTTTTATTAGAATTTGTAGTAGAATTTAACTCAACTTATATTAATTATCCTTTTAAAAAAAATTAATCATTTGATTTTTGAGTGTATTTTGTTTTTGGTGTATTACCTTTAATATTCTCAACCAAAATTTCAGCATTATGCAAAATACAATCATTCTCAAAAGGATTATTAAACTTTTTTTACATTGTTGATAAATACTTTATATTTCTAGTTATTGAAGGTGAGTTAGGTCTTTAAACTAATTAGGTTTTATTTAAGTTATTTTTAGTTTATTGAGCATTTTTAAAAAAGTGCTTTGTAGTATGTTGCTTAATTTCAAAATCAGATAAACGATAACTTTTTCCCCTTTGAGATCTGTTTTTTTCTGTTGAGTTGAACTAATCTCGATTTGTGACAGTGGGTAAGAAATCTTATTTGCTATCAAAAACAATAGATTTTTCATCTTCCAAAGTTGAATCAAATAAAATCTTTTTTTTTGGAAAATTATTTGGTTTATGATTTGAAAATAAATTATACTATTTCTTATAATTCTCCACTTCTATTTAAAGATATTTCACTATTTCATTAGCGTATTCTATTTTTGCAAAGTTATTTTATATTTATTCCTTTAATTCTTCATTTTCTTTTTCAAGTTATTTTATCATATCTAAATCATCTTGTCTACTTGGTCGATTATTAAATTAACTTTGTAAATCATTAATTTATTAAGTCAATTCTTCTGTCGTAATTTTAAATAATTCCTCTTATTTTAAGAGCTTTTAATTTAATTAAGCTATTTTTTTATTTCCTTCTTCAAATTAACAATTTAAATCTTTAATAAAATTGTTATAATTGAAAATTTCTTCCTCTTATCTTTTAATTATTTCATCTTGCTATTTGATTTTTGAACTTGAATTAATTTAAAGAGTTTTGATTTCTTCTTATAGGGTGATTATTTAATTTTTATATTAATTTGATTGGCTTTCTAATTTATTTTCATAATCGACTAATTAATTTTATAGCTAATTTTTGCTCAATTCCTTTAACCTTTATAATTCTCTGGATTTAAGTTCAAAATCTTCACTATATTTATCGTTCAAAAACAAGGATTCTTTTAATTAGAGCTATATTGATATTATTATATACTTCTAAATCATTAATAATTTTATTTAAGGATAGTATCTTAGTTTATTGTACTTCAATTTGTTTAGATAGATTAGAATCAATATTTTTGATTTGCTATATTTAATTAATTTATAATTTTTTTTCTTTGCTTTCATCAATATTCAATATTTTCTTTTAAGCAGTTTAAGTAGATTTATTTTCCACAAATAGATCAGTTTGAGTATGAATATCAGATGTATCTATATAACCTAAATATCCTTATTTAATTTCCTCCACTATTTCATCAAGATTATCATGAGGTAAAAATTTAGACATATACTTCTTTCTATCTGTTTACGTTTGGGCATCTGCTCTAAAATCTTCAATTAATTGTATTTAATCCTCTTATTTTACATTATATAAACTAGGAGTTAAAGTCATTCTAATTGAGTTCTTCCATTAAAATGATAAGTTTTAATCTGATTCTTGAAGTTCAAATTATTTTTGACTTTTCACTTCATCCATCAAAGTATTTAATCTATCTATTTACTATGGCTTATTTTCTTATCCTTTTTTTGGTTTAGAATCTTCTTCAATATCAATCGATTCTTATTAATTTGCCAAAAGAAACAAAGGTCTATTTTGATCATTTTCTGTAATTTTATTAAGATTAGTGTATTCTTTATAAAAGTCAAGAGATATATGTTTTTGAAGAGATTTAATTATCTTTGGGTCTGTTTAAGCTAAGTATACTATTTCATTTACAAGTTTTCTATATTTAATTTCAAATTCTTATTATCCAACTATTTAATCTTATAATTAAGATATTTTTTATTAAAAGATTTCATTTTGAAATATTAGTTATGCTTGTTCCTCTTACAATTATAATTTATTGTCTTGCAATTTAATAACTTAATCGTTGAGCTTCTTCTATTCAGCTTTATTTTCTTAACTTTCCTATTTTATTAATTTAATTAATTCCAAAATCTATGATTTCACAGATGACTATTTCATAATACAGATTTTTATTGTGCCAATGGTACTTAGTTCAAATAAAATTTAATTCTAAAATTCCTTTTGCAAATCAATATCCTTAACCTTTTGTTAAAGTTCCTATTAAGTTAATTGCATTTCATCTTTTAATAAGGCAATTGATTATTTTAAATCAAAAATTGTAGATTCTAATTATTTAGTATTATCATGAAGTTAATAATTTAATTATGATTGAACCTAAATTTCTGTTAATTACTTTTTAATTATTTCTTACAATTCTGACTATTAATTTAGAATAATTTCATAATCCTATTACAATTCTCCATTAAATTTCTCATATGATGAAATCTTCTTCTCTAATTCTGCTCGTATTTAATCTAATAAAAAATTATATACTTTACCTTTTTCATTTATATCTTTGGCCTAATTCTTTAATTTGGTTTAGTATTCCTCGAAATTTGACTATTGAACCTTATGCAATCGGATATTATATGTCTTTTCCAAATCAGACAATTACGATTTTCCTCTAGCTATTATCATTTATAATTCATTTTTTTCTATTTCGTGTTACTTCTTTAGTTTTTAAATTTCATTTTAGAGACTTTTAATTTACTATTCATAAGTTGTTTTTTCTTAAGCTAGAAGATTCATCGAGTTTCTATAAATATCGCAATTTGAAGAGGCCAATTTTAAATTCTCTTAAAGTTCCTTCAAAGCTTTTGAGTATTATTCTGTTAAGTTAGTTTCAATATTTTATTATTGCTGTTAATATTTATCTTTCTATTCAAGCAATAGTTATTTTAATTCAGCACATTAATTCTTAAGTTGTTTAATTTCATGCTGGAGAGTATTCATGTTCATTTGATAATATTCAGCATCCTCCTTAACAAATAATAAAGCTTATGTAATATCACACAACTCCATATTAAGATATCTATTAGGGACATCTCTAAGGTATGATTTCAATTCCTTTACTCTATTGTTCAAAAAATGATGGAATGCCAAAATGTCTTCTTTTAACAGATGATTTTCTTTTGTTAAGCTAATTACTTACCCTTATAAAAATTCAATTTAACTTTAAGACATTAAATTAATGGAATATAATAAAATAAAGTAACATGTAACTAATTGATTAATTTCTGGATTGCCTGCTATAAATAAAAACACTAAAGCTATTCTTGAAAAAATAAATAATTATTAATATAATACAGTGATCATAAGAAAAGTGAGAGAAAGAAAAAAAAGAAGAAAGGCAAAATGTTTAAATTTATTTTATTAGCTTCGATACTCAACCATGATTTCGTTTTAATTTCTATCTGTAGACATTCATGAATCAACATTTATTAATAAAAAATACCAACATTGAAAGCATCATAAAAACCATTAATAAAAATGAAATAGTTAAAATAAAGTTCAAAGATAACTGTTCATAAATAATGCCTTGTAGCTACATTCAAACTCAACCGTCTATATAAAAAATACAAATGATATCCAAGCTTTGAAATTAACTTAAATGAGCAATGAGACAATAAAAGATTTGAATTTTGGCTAACTATTTTACAGATAAAAACTTCTAAATTGATAAAGCCTGTTTAACTTTAGATGATTATAAATACTTAAATTTGTAAATTTAGATTAATTGGAAGTTTGAAGAAATAAGAATTTCACTAAAAAACTATACTCAAAGGAATACATAAAAAATTCCATTTTTTAATTTCTAAACTATAAGCCTTCTCAAAAAAAGAGATTATAGAAACCAGTAACTTCACAATAGTAGGAATACCTATAACAATATTTTTTTATATTGCTTAAACAAAAATTACAAAAAATTGAATTTGGTTATAAGTACATTTATGTTAACTTTAAGAATTGATACTTTAGATTATCTCAACCTATAAAAGCTTATATACATTTCACTAAACAGAATTCTTCTGAATAAATTATGAACTTATAACAATTTATTAAGAATTTAATTGCAATCAAAAAAGTGTTTTTAAGTTTAACAACTATATTTGAAAAATAAGAATTTTTTAATCATTCAATCTCATTCATTCATATTTCTTTAGGGCTTAGTCAACTTCAGCCAATAACCATAAGTTTACAATTTCAGAATAAGTTCTCTTTTTATCAACAACAAAGAGTCAAATTAAAGTTCTTTAACATAAATTTATAGTCATAAAATGAGAACAATTAGAAATTTCTAAATTAAATAGCAATAGAGGTAAAAATTAAGATTAAAAAGAAAAGAATTAATCAAGATCGCCAGTCATATTTTAATATTTATTTACTAATATTAATTATAATCAATTCTAAAAACTTATCAAATTCTTTATAACAATGACATATAATTTAAAAAATATCAGTATAGATTCATTTTTTTATGTTATCATCGTTAACTTCTTTTACTTGTGCTTTCTTTTGCTAAAATAACCAAATCATAGATTTATTTTCCTAGCCTTCTATTGTATCATCATCTATTGTAGAATTCTATATGAAACATTATTCAGCTTATAAGATTGGCTCTTTTGCAAACTTGAAAAATGGGAAATATTATTTCTCATTTTCATTATTTCCAATATCTTATTCATATTGGCTTTTACATAAATTTATCTCTTATCCAAATGAGTAAGCCATAATTGAATCAATAGAAAACACAATTGATCCAATTTATTCATTAATACTTTATATCTATTAAATAGCCTTTTCATTTTTTATATCCCATAATTTGATAATCTTATCAATCATCCCAAAAGCTAGAATAGAATTATCTGGTGAGTATGCCATGGCGATAATTTCTGCTCCACCTTCAATTGTATTATAATTCTAATACTACTCTGTTTCCCAAATAATAACACTACCATTGCTGTCACCAGATGCAAGTTGTTTTCCATTAGAAGTAAAAGTTAGAGCTTTAACTTCACTCATATGGTTATCTAATTTTTTAAAAGGATTGTATTAATTTCCATTATTTTTCCAGATCTAAATTGTTTAATCATCGCTTCCAGAAGCTATAAAATTTTCATCTTCTTGTGAACTAACGCAAGGTTAAAACTATATTTTATTTATTTTTGAATTATGTGTTTTCTCTAATTCTATCCATTATTATTAATCTTATTTGAAAAGTTTTATATCTCCATTACTCAAACCACAAACTATTTATAAGCCACTTTTTGATATAGTAACACCAGTAATATAGATTTATTCTTAATAGTAATTAATTTCATTTTAGCTTTTAAAATCAAATAATGATGGAAGATTTTTAGCTTATTCTTCAATAATATCCCATATAGCAATTGTTTATTTATTTTTCAATAATAAAAGTTATTCTGATGGATAAGTAGGGAAAAACATGACTTAATTAGCTTATTTATCAATTGTTGTTCTTTTCTTGTATTTTTCCATATCCCAAATAATGACATTGTCCTTTTAGCTACATGAAAGAAGTGTTAATCCATCTGGAGAAAAGCATATATCTTAGACAAAATCAGAATGCCCTTCAAACATTTTGATTGTCTCTTCACCCTTCTTTTGCCATAAAATAATGCTTCCATCTTCTTATCCTGAAATTAAATTACTTTATCTTGTAAATGTCATTGAAGTTATTCCAACTTTTTAGGATATTGAGGACTCTTGCAATTTTTGATCTTAGAAATCCCAAATATTCAAACTTCTATTTTCTCCAATCCCTGCAAATTTCTCATCATATTAGGAAATGACAATTTATGAAAATTCACATCCATCCCCTTTATAGATCTTACTTTCCTATAGAAAATTTATTAAACCAATCTTGCTTTCTCCTTCTTAATTAGTAATAATAAATAATAACTTTTGGTTATTTTAGGAGAATACCAATTGTGATATTCTTCCAGAATATCCTGAAAATTCTTTTATGATTTCATTTTTATCTGTATCATGAAATCTTATAATATCATCTTTTTCTTATTGGTAAACATATATCATCATTTATGCATAAATCTGTATTTTGTTAATTGGATTTTAAATATCATTTATTGTGTTTTTACATTGTTTACTTTCAGCAATCCAAATCTTAATAGTTTAATATTTATCGATTGATATTAATGTTTTGTCATCAGATGATATCGATATATTTATTATCTTTCTATCATGTTCTTAATCAAATTTATCAAAATAAGATTCACTAGTCCATTCCCAAATCCCAATAATGCCATTTTAAAAACCCAAAGCAATCTGTAATTTTGTTTTGAATATTTGACCAGCTGTTATTATATCTTGAAGTTAAAAACATTTTGATCTTCCAGATTATATTTCACAGATTTGAATCATATCTAGATCTTTCTCAACAGTTATTTTTTTTGATGTTTATACTGCAACAAAATGTTCTTTGCCGATAAATCCTATCAAGAACGCAGATATTAATTAAAATGAATGTTTAACAATATAATTTTTCAACTACCATAATTCCATTCTTTATTTAGAATTTAAAGATAATAAATAATATACATCCATAGAAAATACAAGAGATATTATTTCACCTTTGCATTATATAATTTTAGGATTTGTAGATTTATGATCTATAAATTAAAATTTTTCCCATATTATTATTTAATCCTTGCTACCAGCTGCAATCAAATTACTATTTGGACAAATAGATAAACAGAAAATTGGAAATTGTAAATTTTCTGATTCCATTCTCTAGTTCTCTTGTGTAATCTCCCAAGCTTTGATAAACCCTTAATTTTCAACATTCTTGCACCCAGTCATCAAATATGTTCCATCATGTGAAAGAGCAATACATGTTATTGGTTCAGGAAGCTTAAGAAACACTCTTATTATATTGGGAACATTTTCTCCAATATTCCATATCGTTACAGTGCAATCAGAACACCTTGTTGCTAACATAATAGAATCTGGGAAAACAACTACTTACATTACTTTTTCTTTGTGTTTAATAAAACGTTTCTTAGTTTATTCTTATTTTTAATAGTCTGAAATGAGCAACACTGATTTATCACTGCTTGCAGATGCTAGAATTGTCTAATCTAATGAGAAATATAAGGAATTGACAGATCCTTGATGGTCTTTGATTGTTTAGATCGTTTTAATTTATGTTTTATTTTGATTTGTGCAATCCCAAATATATATTGTATTGTCAGTTCCTCCAGATGCTAAGTAGAATCCGTTTTATGATATAGAGAGACAGTTTATAATTCCTTAATGGCCTTGTAATTTATTGATTTATTTTCTTTTTGTATAATCCCAAACAACAATTGTTTAATCCTCACTACTTGAATATAATGTTTTTCCTTCAGGACTCATCAATAATGATGTTATTTTCTTATTTTCGTGTCCACTTAAAGTTCTCTACTCATTACAAATTATAGCCCATGTAGAATTTTCAATTTTTGATAGATTAAAGTTGCATCCATCAACTTCGACTCCAGAAAATCTACTTGATGATAGATCACTAGCAAAAAAGCTTAAACCATTTATTTTGGTATCAGCTATGTAAATTTTTCTAAAATCTTACTCTCCCATATAAGTTTTAAATTAGGATAGTAAAAATACTGAATTTGATGCTGCTCTTTTATAATTTTCGTTATTCTTCGATAAATTAAGTATTGACTTTAAGTGATTTACTATCTTATCTTCATTTGTTTAAAAAAAATTGGTAATGAATTCACATACTTTTTAAAAATGAATTTTGGAAGTATTAAATATATCTTTATTATATAAAGATAATTCTAAATCTTTAAGTTAGAGTTTTTTTTTTTCAAAATGATTATCAAATAAATTTATGATATATTTTGAAACAAAAAATTCTTGTATTGATTTATGAGTAAAAGAATAAACATTACCTTTGCAACTTAACAAAATGCAGCTTCGTATTATTTTTTTATATTATTGCTCTTCTAATTCACCATTAAAATATTAATCTGACCAATTTTATTCTGGTCCAATACATTCTTGAGCTTTTTTCAGTTTTAATACTCCCTAAACTTTATGAGAAAAATAAGTTTAATCATGAACAGTCATTTCAAGAGCCAAAGATTCAGAAAAATCCCACAAATCTATTGCTAAACTTTCAAAGTTATGAACATTTCCCAAACGATACTATTTCTAAATTTGTTAAGAATGATAATACTATATAAAATTTTCGTAGAATTCATAAATTGTAAATTTTTTTAGTTTAAATGCACTTATTACAACCTTTTTCTCCTCATCTGTTAACTTATATGAGGAGATTTAAGATAAATTATCTAAAATGGAAAAATTTTAAAAAAATTGAATTTCATCCAACCTTTTTACAAATAAATCCAATTATTTTAATTGCTGTTCATCTTTTTTCTCTTTGTTATCCTTGAGAATTTTATTTTATGAACTTTATTCTCTTCTTTTAATTATCATATAATTCTATTTAAACATTTCTTTAATTTAAGTAGCTTCAGAATAAATTTTTGCAAAATTTGGTAAGACTTACACAACTATCTCCATCATATACGGAGTTTATAAAATTTTCCCCATTTGCAAATTATTAATTGAATCTTGATATTTTTATTTACTCCACAAACCAATAAGTTCTTTCTATAAAATTATTTTTTATTCATCCTTAACATATTTAAAGTTAGGAATAGAGGATATTTTATCAAGAATAAGTTGAGCTTTATGTTGTGTCAAAAACTGCTATTTTTAATTTTATTCTTAAGTTTGATCGTATTAAAAAGAATTTAAAAGTTGTTCAAATTAATTTAAAATATATTTTACATCTTCTGGATCTACTTTTTTTCCTTCAATTTATTATACGTATTCATATAACCCAAATATTTTTTTTTTGATGTTTAAAATACTGTATTGTTAAAGATAATTTGCTCTTTATTAATCTGTAAATTATTTAAGCTCTATATCTAAAAGAGATTAAATATTCTTACCAGTAAACCATCTTAGGAAATATTTTTCTTACAAAATCTCACTTCTTGTAGTAATGATAAGTTTTAAATTTTTTCTATGTAATTCAATATTAAATTATTATGTAAACTCATTTGTGGCATACAGATTCTATTTTTTTACATCATCTTTCAATTCATCATAACTGTCTAGTATAAAAACGACATTCGCTCTTTCATTGCATATTGCATCTTTGAATTCTTTAATTTAAATTTTATCAAAATGGTAATAATCTGATTCTAGGGCTTCATTAAATAAATTTGTTTTAGGATCCTTCAAAGAGGGCAATGATACAAATATTGGAATCCAATTAGATTATTCGCTATTGTATTGCTTCCATATGTATTCCTCTATCTTTTTAGCAGCTCTGCTCTTTCCTGATCCTGCTTAACCACGAATCAACATTACATCAAAATTTTAATCTTACTTATTATATTTGCCATATAAAAAATCATTTACATCTCCTGAAAGATTCATTTGATTTGATTCATCTTAACTTTCTATTAATAAATATGAATTTTTTATTTCCCCTTTTAAGCGATATTTACTATTTTCCTAGTTACTTATTGGTTCGTAAATACTTCTATTCGTCATTAATTCAATATATATGGAATTCATCTCTGTAATTTATTAATCATTCTATACTTTTTTTTTTCTAGTTTTCAGCAACTCAATGTATTTTTTCCCTCGAAGAACTCTCAAATCAATTAAAATTTCATCTACTGAAAGCTAAATTTTGTCAATTTTTTGTTACAGTATTTAGAAGTCTTTGTGTATTTCTTACAAAAACAAAAAACTCAAATTAATTTAAGAGGACATCTCCTCTATATTATTTAAATAATCGTGAAAATCCTTTGATTTCTATTCTAACTATTTTTTAAGTATGGATTTCTCACTTTCAACACCTTCATGTTGAATTTCTGCCTCCAGTTTTTAAAGTGCTTTCAATTTTTCTCGAAATTCTTATTACAATTATTTTGATAATGAATTTAAACCTTGAGAATATAAACTTTTTTATTAATCTATCATCTCCTTATCTTTAAATATATTCCTTACATTCTCATTTTTCTCTTCCATCCAAAGTTATTATATTATCAATTAACAAAATTTTACTACATGTTATTCCTTGATAATTATTTAACCTTTCATAATATTAAAAAATAAACACTCTCTGACTTTGTAATCATCACTAGAATCTTATTTTAAAAATTTTGAATCCTTCACATAAGTTGTTGATAATTCATTAAAATCATTTGGATTATTTTGGTTTAATATGTTTGCCATGCATTCAAAAAAATTAATAATAAACTTATTTGAATATATTTCTTCACGGGTAATTATTAAATTATAAAATTCATCTTTTATGATATGTTCTAAAGTTTCTTTCTAAAATTTATCAATAGTGTCATTTTCAAAAGTTACAATTTATTAATAATCTTAATCTCCATGATCATCTATACATTGTATATATTCTTAGTAATTTTGAAATTCTTCAACTTTTCTTGAAATTATTTCATAAAACTTATTTATTTCATTTTCTTTCTTAAAAATTTTATTCAATATTTTATGGTGTGAATTTGTGTGTTATCCAACATTACTTAAAGTTCTTTCATAAGGAATCTTCTACGATTGCTGATTATCAGTTGATGGAATAAATTCTTCCTTCTTATTTTTATACATCCCCAAAATTGTTGTTAAATTTGCCAATTAATTATCTACATTTTCAATGTATTTTAATTATGAAAGAAGCAATCTAATTTTTGCAGCATATTAGATATATTAGTTAGCTAAAAAAGCTTCTTTATAAACTGTATTTGCTTGTTTAATATTTTGGGAAATTGTATTCATTATATCATTTATTTTATCAGAATCAAATGATTTAGAAGGAGATGAAGTTAATTATGACAACATTTCCAATTCTTCGCGAAAAAATCCTCTAATATATTTGTTATATTCAATTTTTTTTAGATGATCTTAATCTAATTGTCGTTTCTATGTATCTTCATTATCCAAAAGAATTTGAACCTATTGTTTTAGGGATTAATATTTTAATAAAAGATGTTATACAACCTTTTATAACCCTAAGAGTAGATTAATCAGCTTATCAATATCCCTTTGATTTTAGGCAATAATAATCTTATATTATTCATTAATTCCTTAGATAAATTATTTAGAAATTGTAAAAGAAAAAATTTCTTTTAGTATTTCTTCAAATTTAAGGGGTTCAATTTTACTTTCTTTTTTATTATTCAAAATTTAGAAATCTAATAATTCTTTCTCTTTATTTTACTAATGATTAATACGTTTTTTTACATTACTTAAGAAATCTTCAATTATTTTGTTCAAATTCTTTAAATTCTCTTTGACTTCTTGTTTATCAACTAAATATTTGGAAAATTAATTAAAATTATACTCCTCTAATGTGATCTTATCTTCATTTTTTTAATTTTTTTCATTTTTTATAATTGTTTCATTTTTTTCAATTGTTTCATTTTTTTTAATTGTTTCATTTTTTCCATTTTTATCAATTGTTTCATTTTTTCCATTTTTTTTATTTTTTTCATTTTTGTCATCAATCAACAAGGAAACATATTCGGTTTATTCCTAAAGAAGCTAAAACTAATTATATATTTCTTAGCACAAGATTGCTGATTGTATTATATTATTATTTACTAATTATTAGTTATCAATATTGTTTCCTTCGATAATTTTTTTATTTTTGTCAAATAATTAGTTTAATTTGTTAATATTATTTTTTAAATTATTTATATTAGGATTCCCAAATAAAATACGATTATTCATTCTGGCATCATTTTTAGATTAATCAGAAAAAGATGTTATTCTTACATAGTCAAGGAGCGATTTAAAAGTTTCCGCTTCAGCATTAGGATTATATTATTACATTAACCATAGTTAAAAGCTTTCTAAATTTCGAAAAAGTTAATAAATTCCCTTCTTTTCATAAATTCCCTTATTTTCATATTTATCAGAAAAAACAACTTGGGCAATATTTTCATCAAATTAAGAACGAAGTAAATACCCTGTATTAATTTCATTATCCCAAAGATTATTTTATTCATATTTATTTTACATATTTTGAAATAGATTTTCTTTCTCAACCAAGGGCCTATAAAAAATTAAATCTGATAGTGTTCTCACCCAACAAAAATGAACCAACCAATTATCTGATTCTTTTATATTATTTTGATATGATTTTGAAAGTTGATTTTAAACAGAATCTAACGTACAATTCTCATGCAATCTCTTGATTATATACCATTTCAATTCTTCAAAAAAAAAGTAAAATTGATATTGTTTATTTCTCCACTTAGATTAAGCCAACTAAAATAAATATTTTCCAGCATCAAAAGTAGCTGTCACAAATTCTATTGAAGGTTACATATTTATAAAAGAAAGAACAGTATGTTAAACCAATTACTTGAAAATTGTTTCTCCCTCATTAGTTTCAAAATTTAAGATTGCAGCTTTAGCCATTCTTAGTTCAAAAGAAATTCCAGTTTCCCAAATTTATTTATTTAAAGCTTTAATCTCTTACTTTGCTTTTGAAATATAATCAAGAAATGTCTTTTAAAGTTGAGGCTCAATAAGAATTTTTTTCACTTTTTTTTGCTCTGATATTTCTATTAAAGATTTAAATTTTTGAGAAACTAGAAACCTCAGAAGTTCATTTAGAATTTACAGCAAATCATGCAATAAAAAACATGACATTGTTATAAAATTAGGTATAGCTTAGATTATTAAAGCCACAGCATCCAGTATTTTTTCTGAATATTTCTATGCAAAATCTTCATCGTAAACTAGTGAATTTATGTAGTATTTATTGAAAATAAACCATTATATTGAGGCATTCAATTCTTTTTTAGAATTTTTTTCTAATGTGTAGTTTGATTTTTCATAGATCATATTTGAGTGTTTTCTTAACTGTTCTGCAAAATTAGAAGGAAGCTTCAATTTTTTTTTTTCCTCTTCTGGCTTATTTGGTTTATTTGGCCTTGATTATTATGTACTACAAATTGAGCTTCCTCCTCCTCTTAATTTTTCTTATCCTATTCTTTTGGTTAAATTTTAGACAGACTTTAAACTTGAGCAACATGATTAGATAGGTATATCTAAAACCATAAAATATTGATGGGATTGAGTACCATTATAATTCATTTAAAAAATATCTAATTTAAAAATTACAATCAATTATTTATATAATCTACTTGTTTATCGATACAATTCATCTTTTATTTGTTAGCTTTAAAAGAAAATTCATATTTTTTCCAAAATATCTTGATATATCATCGATTTCGAAAAAAATTCAATATAATTGACATTGTAGATTCTACTATTATGATGCTATGATACAACTAAATTAAAGGTGGACAACAACAATAATCCTACTTTAAATTTCTACAAGTAAAAGATAACAAGTTACTTAATTTTTTATTGTGAGCTTTTAAAAAAAATAGTTATTATACCTATTTATTAGACCAATAATTATTATTCAATCTGTCAGGCTGTAAAGATCAACATTAAGAGCTGTTATAGGTAAAAGAAAATAACTGACTTTTAAATTACCTCTTGATTCTACGAATCCATTGAGAATGCAGAAGTTAATCTGGATATTTGAAGATGAGCATAATTCCTTATAATATATCAATATATTTTTATTTCTAATGACATTCTTACGTAAAGGATTATGGATGAGCAATATTTAGAAACAGTCTTACTATAGATTTATTTAAATAATGATGGATTTGCTTGTACAAACTCAGTGAACTCTATAATCTTCCTTGTGTATAAATATTTTAAAGGCTCCATCATGTCTTTTCAATAAAAATTAATTGGTGTGAAAACCGAGGCGAAAATCATGCTTAATAGTATTTAAGAATCCCATTATTTTCTTGTTTTTATGGATTGGACTATCTTCGTAAATTAAAATATATTTATTTTTAATCATAGGAATGTTTCTTCAACGCTCTATTAATTATTGCAAATTATGTGATGTAAACACATTGAAATTATTTATTACTATGGGCAATTAATGAGTTATAAACTCATCCAAGGTTGTCTCATTAAAAAAGACAAAATTTGCTTTTTGATTGAATCGATTAAGAATCACATTGAATATTAATATCTTTCGTTCAATGAATTGCACATGAGCTTCTATAATCTTTTTTAGTTGATAATCTACAGCTTGCTTTACAATCTCTTTTCATTATAATTTAGAATTACAAAGCTTACTGATTTAATCCAAATTTATCTAAAAAGTCTTAATATAATATCTAATCCAAAGCAATGGTAAATTTTTTTAATTTTAGATGAATCATTTATTTTTATCTTTTCTTTAAAAAAGAAAATCATTTTTGCTCTAAAAAATAAAATAATATTTATTATTGATTATGGATTAACCTTTAAGAAAATTAAAAATTTGTTTAAAAATATAATTAAATAAATGAAGTTGTCATCCTATAAATTTCTAAAATTTTTAAATTTTAAATAATAAATGCTTATTTAAATGTTGTGTTAAATAAGATTACTTTTTGAGGTATTAAAAAAATTTCTTTATAGGCCTTTGAATTCTATTACAATTAATTTGGCCAAATGTATTTATAAAATAATCAAACGTTATTTCTTGTTGATTCTTTAAAATAAATATTCCAAGATTTATAGGAAATAGAATATTTAAAATTTTATGGAAATTTTTTTCTGATTAATAATGAATTTTTTAGAGATATATTTTTAATATAGTAATTTATTCTTAACTTAAATAATTTAAATGTTGTAAAAGATAAAGACCTTAATCACTTAACTTAAAATTTTAATTTTTATTGATCATATATTATTATATAATATTAACAATTTTTTTTCATCCTCTAATTATCTCATCTTCTCTTTTTTCATAATCTTTTAAAAGTTCCTTTTATTTGAACCTAAAATTAATTGGATATACTTTATTATTAGTTTTGGGTTTTTAGTTGAAATATATATTTTTATGGAATTAATCTACATTTGTAAAAAAATCCTCTGTTTTTGGTCTTTCTGGAGAACTATCATTTTATGTGTGAATTTAATAAAATCTTGGGTGAGAGAGAACAAAATTTAGTAAATATTTCTTTATTTTTTAAAATCTAATATGTATTCTTTCTGTTTATTTTTCTCTATTTATTAAAAGCCTCTTTATAATATGATTAGATTTAATTAAATTTGGAAATCTTTTATTAATTTTATCTCTTATTTTATCTAGATTTTCTTATTAATCTTTTAATAATGCTAATAATATTCCCTATAAAATATATGTAACAAATATGGAATTTAAGCTAATAAGAAACATAGAAAAAGGCAATATTATCTCTTAATTGTTTGATAAGTCAGCTTAATAAATTATGATTGATAATACTATGGAAGTACCACAAATTAGTGTACTAAATTCATCAATAATGTTTAATTAAATAAATAAATAAGGACGATACTATTTTGTTAACAATTAATATATGAAGATGATTATAAAAACTAAAGCTCCTTTTATAATTATTAAATCTTCATAAAATGTCGAAAAAATAATTATAAATCCTTTATACAGAATTTTTATAATTTCCCAAAAAAAATAAGCATTCCTTGAATACTCATTATATAAATATCCCCAATTTTTCTTTTTTTTCATCTTCTAAGTTATGTCTTTATAGATATAAGCTAATAAACATGTAGGCAGGGTTATAAATAAGCGAATAAAAAGATAGCAGTTGTAGTAAATGCACTCTTATTCAGTTTAGTTAACTTAATACTAACTGCTAATACATAAAAAATAATAAAAATTAGAATGTAAATTATAGGTATTATTAATGCCCAAATCATTCTGAAATAAATAATATTGATAGTTGTAATATCTACTAAAAAATAGTCTAAAGATAAACTCATTGTTTATTTTGGATTACCAACTGATTTAACAGATAATTATAATCCATTTGGCATTTATAATTAAAATGTTGAGATAACTCCTATGATTTAAAAATAATTTGTTAATACTTTGATTAATACATTTCCTTACCCTGCTCTAGGATCAGGTATAGATATTTTTAATATCAACCTTTTTTCTATTAATTTATAACTTTATTAATTGTTTCTATTGTTTCTTTTACGGATAAAAATATTGAGATCATTGTCCAAATACTAATTAGTACAATTTTTATAGCATTATCTCCTATGTTTGCACAACTTCCACATTTATAGATTGTACTTACAGAAAAAGATCCTTAACCTCTTATATTATCAATATCACATTGCTCACATAATGCTCCAACATGTGCCTCTGAGCATAATTCATTACCAGGATTCCATCCACCTAAACAATTTTCAGGCATATTCAAACAATATTCTATATTTTCACTACTCTCATATGGTCTCCAATAATGAGGTCTCAACATAATTCTAGCAGAAGAAACATTTTCCATCTTGATTTAATCTTTTATTTTGCATTATTCACCAGCTCTTGCATTATATTAATAAGCATTAGAATCACATAATTTACATGTTCCCTATTTAGTTTTGTATTCTCCTCTTTAACAAGGAAATGTTTATACATTTACTCTTAATTTATAATTAGTAAAATATTTTTTTAGTAAATAAGGAGGTTTGTCATCAAAAATTGGAATTTTCACTGAATCACACATAATCTCCAATTATAAAAAATCTTAGGATGAATAATCAGGATCAAAATTCATAATCATAGAATCTAAATTATAATCCTAACTAGTTTTATTGAAGACAATCTCTTTCAAACTAGTAAAATTTTCATAAAATTATCCTTCCTTTTAATTAATAATTTATCTTCCTTTTAATGTACATTTAGTTCCATCTAATGCTTTAATTTTACTATTCTCTTTGTCTAATGGTATTATTCTTAAAGTAATTTTTAAAGGTATATAATCTTGAGTGTGCTCATTAAAAATTTTGAACTCATTTATAACTTGTCCACTAGGAAACATTAAAAAGTCTTGTTTCTTTTGACCTATATAATATTTGTTGATTTCAATTTATTCAATAACTTAGTTTTGATTGCTCTCAATTTTTTTTGTATTTAAAAATTTTGAACCAAATTACAGAGTTAATTTTACAGGGAACCCAGCTATATTATCACTAAACAGAGATGCTTTGTTATTTGAGTATATGATATTTGTTTTATCTTTATCTGGAATTGCATAGTTTTCTATAAATATAGCTCCTCCTACCTTTGCTTAATTATTTACAAACTAGGTATCATAAATTAAAAAAAGAGATTTTTCACGATAAAGATAANTAATACATTTCCTTACCCTGCTCTAGGATCAGGTATAGATATTTTTAATATCAACCTTTTTTCTATTAATTTATAACTTTATTAATTGTTTCTATTGTTTCTTTTACGGATAAAAATATTGAGATCATTGTCCAAATACTAATTAGTACAATTTTTATAGCATTATCTCCTATGTTTGCACAACTTCCACATTTATAGATTGTACTTACAGAAAAAGATCCTTAACCTCTTATATTATAAATATCACATTGCTCACATAATGCTCCAACATGTGCCTCTGAGCATAATTCATTACCAGGATTCCATCCACCTAAACAATTTTCAGGCATATTCAAACAATATTCTATATTTTCACTACTCTCATATGGTCTCCAATAATGAGGTCTCAACATAATTCTAGCAGAAGAAACATTTTCCATCTTGATTTAATCTTTTATTTTGCATTATTCACCAGCTCTTGCATTATATTAATAAGCATTAGAATCACATAATTTACATGTTCCCTATTTAGTTTTGTATTCTCCTCTTTAACAAGGAAATGTTTATACATTTACTCTTAATTTATAATTAGTAAAATATTTTTTTAGTAAATAAGGAGGTTTGTCATCAAAAATTGGAATTTTCACTGAATCACACATAATCTCCAATTATAAAAAATCTTAGGATGAATAATCAGGATCAAAATTCATAATCATAGAATCTAAATTATAATCCTAACTAGTTTTATTGAAGACAATCTCTTTCAAACTAGTAAAATTTTCATAAAATTATCCTTCCTTTTAATTAATAATTTATCTTCCTTTTAATGTACATTTAGTTCCATCTAATGCTTTAATTTTACTATTCTCTTTGTCTAATGGTATTATTCTTAAAGTAATTTTTAAAGGTATATAATCTTGAGTGTGCTCATTAAAAATTTTGAACTCATTTATAACTTGTCCACTAGGAAACATTAAAAAGTCTTGTTTCTTTTGACCTATATAATATTTGTTGATTTCAATTTATTCAATAACTTAGTTTTGATTGCTCTCAATTTTTTTTGTATTTAAAAATTTTGAACCAAATTACAGAGTTAATTTTACAGGGAACCCAGCTATATTATCACTAAACAGAGATGCTTTGTTATTTGAGTATATGATATTTGTTTTATCTTTATCTGGAATTGCATAGTTTTCTATAAATATAGCTCCTCCTACCTTTGCTTAATTATTTACAAACTAGGTATCATAAATTAAAAAAAGAGATTTTTCACGATAAAGATAATTAAAATGATTTAGATATTTATTAATATAAAATAATAAATTATTTAATTATAGTCAAAATTAATGGCTCCTCCTGTTTCTCTTCCATTATTCATTATAATTTAACATGAGTTTATAATCATAGTAATTGAAGAGATATAAGCTGCACCTCCATATGTTCCACTATTATTTTTAAAGTAACTATATTCAAGTCTTAAATTCATAATTTTAGTTTCATAATAAGTTTAAATTTAATTTAATAATCTATTTGATTTGACTTCTGAATATTATTTTAAATTAGTTTTTTCTTTTGAAATAAGACTAAAAAACTCAAAAGGCCACATTAATTGTCTTCCATTTTTATTGAATTTAGATTGATCAAATTTTAATTGTTTTATTATTCTATATTTATAAATTTTAATATTCCTTCTTTACAGTTTGAGCATATAGTATTCTAAAAAATTAGATATTCTATTTAAATTTAATGTTTTGAGGAAATAGAATCAAATTAAAAAATAAACCTAGGATTTGTTCTTTTTGTTATTAAGGTATAAAAATTGTATAGACTAATAATATATTGATTCTACTAATCATAGAATACTTGTAGCTATTCTGGCTAAGAATACATTTTTAAACATTTATAAAAGGATGAAGAAATAGAAGGATATGTTTAAATTGGTTTTGAGAAATCTCCAAATATTTCTTTGATGGATATTAACTAAATATTAGCTATTTACACATTAGTCATATATTCTAAAAATATATAATTATATACTGTTATTAAGTTTAATATTTAGTGTACTTCCACTAATCAATGTTAAATTTTATATTTCTATATTTTTAAGTGTAATTGATTCTGCATTCATTATTTCCATAACCCCATAATCAAATAAATCAAAAAAGTTGCAATTTCTTACAGTAATATTACCTCTTTCTATAGTAATTAAATAATTTTTACTTAATTCATTAATTCTACCTTAATATGATAAAAAACCTTGATAAGTATTTTAAATTAGCAAATCAGAAATTTCAACATTCAAAATTAAATAGTTACTTGTAAATATTATAGGAAGTTAAAGAAAGCAGCTTTCAATGAATAAACATTTTAAATTACATTTCTTTAAATTATTATTTATTTTTTATTACTAGAAGGCTCTAAAAAGAGTGTTCCTCCTTCTTATCTACTAGAACTTTAGGAAAAAAGATTGTCAGATATTAATAAATTTAAATCTGATTGAGAAGCATCAATAAATAATGTTCCACCTTGTGATTTCTCAGTAATTAAACTTCAATTATTCCATTTGATTAAGTACTAAAATAAAATGATCCTCCTTATTAAGCATAAGAATTCTAACTTGAAACATTTCTTACAATTATTTAATCTGCTTAACAAATAGCATTTCCACCCTTTGATTTAATAGGAAAAATTGAATGTAAATTCTCAATAAAAATTATTTCATTTTATTAATATCCCCAAATTAAACGATCTTTTAAATATTAATATTATAAATGATTTTAAGAATTAAAATAACAATCATCCATCTAAAAACTTCCACATTTAAATACAAGGTTAGATCCTTAATTATTAGTGATAATATTATTTTCAAATATAGATTTAATTAATATAATTTTAGAATTAGGACTATTTATATAAATAGTTGATGATTACTTGAATAATTAATCTTCTTAATAAGTATGATGATGATTATTAAAGGTATAAATATCTTACAAATCAATTTATTATTCTTATTCAAATATTATGCTAATAACACAAGGTTGTTCAGACAATTTAGTAAGAATAATTGTATTGTTTGTCAAATTAAGGTATTTCATTTCTATTTTCTCTGATTGTCTAAAATTTGTTCTTTCCAATGATTTTAATGTTATAATGGTAAATTAATTATTATTAAACCTGTAATTTCAAGTTTCTCAATTTAAATTAATTTAAAATTATATAACTAAATCATACTACCATATCCAATATCTTAGTTTGATTATAGACAAGAAATGAATTAATGGAACAATTTAATTTTGAATTCTGAATCTAATGTAGCTCTTATATTTTTAAACACTATTTTATCAACATTAACAATAGATATCTTTGGAAGAGTGAATGTTCTAATAATATTAACATTTTCCATATAAATTTTCTTTACATCAAAATAAAGAGAAGAGTCGGCTGAATTTACTGAACCTTTGTAATTTTGTTAAGTAAATTTTTAGAATGTAATGTCAATCCATTAATATTAACTTTTAAATCAAAAAATTGATCTCTTTGATCTAATTCTAAGTACACTTTACTTCTAATATAATTATTATTGTCAAATGTTATTGAATTTAATAAAACTCTATTTTATTTGATGTTATCTTTGTATAAGCATCTACTTTATTTTTTATTACAATATTATCAGGATTATTGAAGTTATTGTTTGATATTAACATATTGTCAATAGAGAATAGAGGTAGTTTAAATAATTAGACTTGAGAATTGAATTTACCATTAGAAACTATAATGTTTATTAATTCAACATTTAATACTCCAGGTATATTAAATAGACTTGAATTAGTTAATTCATCATGTTTAGAATTAAATTATTCAATATTGAATATGGATTCTCTATTTGAATTATTAAATTAAGTATACAAAGCAACTGATGATATATATTTATTGTTTAATGACTTAAAATTATTGACTTTAAGTAGTTGATTACTGTATCCTGTATCCAAAGTTTAAACTATTAATTTTGAATTATTTATAAAACAGTTTGATATTAGAAATTAATATAAAATACTAAAGCCTTTGTTAAATTTTGAGTAAAGTAATAATTAATGATTCCGTTAAGATTATCTAATTTAGAATCTAAAATTTTAAAATCCTTTATTTTTATATTATTTGGATTTAAGATTGCTATTTTAAATTAATTTTAATTGATATTCTTTATTTAAATCTCTTCTAACAAGACTGATATACTATATAAATTTTTAATATTCAATGATGTAGTATTACTATTTGAAATGAATTCATAAAAAGTAATATTGTCATCTAAATAAATCTACATTCCACTACTAGGGGATCATAAAATTAGTTCTAAATATTATTCTGTGGAGACATTTCGACGGATTTCTGATTTAATAAATGTATTTTTTTTAATAATACAATCTCCAGTTTTTGGTAATACATTTAGGATGTATCTCACTAATTTCACACTTTTTTGGTTTAGTTCATTAAATAGATAATTAGTTTCTACAGAGAAATGGTTGATATTATGTGTAGAAAAAATTTCAGAAATAAGAGCATTTTTACTTAAAAATTCATTTTATTCTTCTGAAGTTTCTAATCTATAATAATAATAATCAAAAGTTGATTTAGAACAGTACAAATTAATTGGAATTTCATGGTAAAGATAACAATCTTTCTTTTCAGAGTTTAGAATGTATATTTCTATAGTGTAATATCATCTGGTTAGAAATAAGGATTAATTTTAAGTTTTTCTTCTTCAGTAATTCCTCTACATAATTCACAAAATTAAGGGCAAAGATGACATTATCCATGATAAACTGTTTTTGTGTTTAGACTATTACAACTAATGCATACTGATTAATCATTTTCTATAATGCAGGAATCACAATTGCATTTTGGATAGCATTTATTATTATAAAGTATACCATTTTAAGGACAAGCTGTACATATGACTTTACACAAACCATACAATTAGGATCATTACAAAATCCTCCAGTAATAGGATTTGAAATTGTAGTAATACTAGAGTAAGAATTAACATGATCTCCATATATAATAACAAATTTTAGTTAAGGATTTTATGGTAGACTATATAAAGCTAATTGAAAATCATTATTTTTAGATTCTAATACTTTAAGTTTTAATTCTTTTGGTAAAAAGCTCCCTTAAGACTCTACTGATGCACATTCGTAATATTACTAAACTAACATTTTATTGATATATCCATTTTTACACTTTTGACAAACTTAAAATACTGGAATGGTCTCTGTGAAAGTAAAAATATCTAGAGAATTACTATATTATTAAGCTTATAATATTAAAGGTTAATTAAAATAAACAAGATAATGTTCTGATACTTCAATCTCACAGTAAGGAAAAGTTTTTGTTTTGCAGTTTAGTTTCTCTGCAGAGATAAAATAATCCAAATCATGAATACATCTTACACATTACAATTTATTCAAAATAGAAGAGTAAATACAAACTTTAAAAAATTAGCCACATTATTGACATTATTCAAGTGTTTAATTAAAATAATAACCTGTAATACACTCTCTACAATAATAACCAGTTTAATTGTATTTACAATTAGGACTTTCTAAGGGACATTCTAAACATCTATTATCATATAGAGTGTAATTTAATTCACAACTTATACATTAATGATAATTATCGCATTCATTACAATTCTTATTTACTTTAACACATTCTCCATTAATTGATTAATAACAACTCTTACATAAAAACTTTTAGATTTTATTTAAAAACTTTTAGCTTTCCATTGCAATTGATTAATCTATCTTTAATTATCTTATTTGATAAGTTCCTCCATGAAATAAGTATAGACAATGAGTGAATGATTTCTCTTCTTAATTTAGAATTATGTAATAAACCAAATATGTAATATCTTACTTTTTTTCTGTGAGAACATGCATAATTTAGATTGGCAAGGAAAGATCGCCAACCGAAACATAAAATTTAGAATATTTTGTCCATACACCCCAAGCATAATCTAAAGTAACAAGAGATGATAAATCTAATTCAATTAATCTTTATCCTGTATTTGAAGTAGTAATTGTTTTGAATACCTCACAAGAGCATTAAACTAATTTCACCCTAGTAATAATATTTAATTTTACAATATAATGCTTAAATATATCCTTGAGACTTTTTTGAACATTTAATTAATTCATTAAATTTCAATTTTCAATATAAATTAGGTCAAAGATAATATGTAATTTGCTAAGAAATAATCTAGAAATTATGAATGGACAAAGTATTTTCTTATTTATTGTATATAATCTAATGTTAATAATGTTAATAATGTTAATTAAGTATTATCATAAATATCTTAATCAGAAACATTTTTGTTAATAATACCTAATTGTAGTTTTTTTAAAAAGTTTATGTATGTTTGGGCAAATTTAAATTTTTTCTTTAAAATTAATTACATAAATTTAGATTTTTAAGACATAATATCAGCTGATACCTCAATAAAAATGTTTATAAGATTCTATCTATCTATCTGATTTCACTATAAATTGAAAATAATATTAAAATTTTATACAAACCTTTGATTTATGAATCTATTTTAATTACTTAGAATAATATAAATTAAATTTCATTTAAAGATGAAAGATTTGAGATAAGCTTTATTTTTATTTGTTTTGACTTGAAGACATTTCAATTAACTGTAAACTAATTTCAAATTTGAAAAAATTGAAAATGAGCTTCATAATAGATGAGATTTCTTGTTGATAGAAAATTTTAATTTTAGTTTTATTAATTCATTATCTATTTGATAAAGAAAATTATTGAAATGGAAAATTCTATTCATATTAAAAATAATAATATTCTCTCTGTATTTTAGCATATAATAACATCAACAATATCTCCTTACATTAAAAGTCTACTTTGATTTTAAGAATGAGATCCCAATAGAAAAATTTTAATATTAGTCAATCTAGTTATAAATTTTTGGTAAAATATATATTTTATATATTTAAATAAAGTATTTTATGAAATAAACTTTTAGAATTAAACTTTTGGATTGATATTTTAGGCATTAGATTTTCCAACTCTATTTAATATATTGAGAAAAAATTTCTAGATTTTAAACATCTATGAATATATATGAATTAATATTTAATAGATCAATTTTGATTTATAATTTGAGTATTTTTAGAATTCTATATTTTTTAGATTATTATTGTATAAATTGAGATATTATTAGGAACTGATTTGAAAAATTTTATAGAGTATCACTTTTAGGGAAATATGTTATAAAAAAAAAAAAAAAGTATTATTTTTTTTAAGGAAAATTTGCTTTAGAACTAAAATATTTTATTTGAATTCTAGAATTCTTATTATTTGTTTATATTTTCACAAAATTAATTTGTTTTCAAATTATTGTTATAAAAATTTTTATCAATTACAAAAAAAAAATCATCCAATATTATGCAATACTTCAAAAAATTGTAGTTTTATTCTATTTATAAGGCATTCCTTCCAAAATTAAATATATTTACAAAGGTATATTATTTATTAGGTTATTTTAATTTATATTTAGAAACAATTATTGTTAAAATAATTAAAATAAAAATTTATGGAAAAGATGATTAAATCATAGAAAATATGAATCATGAATTAGTAGCATAACTATAAGCAGAAGTGAATAGATACAAAAGTTATCATTAATGTTAGTATTTATAAAAATGATTCAATCTAATATATTTAAATTGTGGACTTATAATTATTAATTATATATTTACTATTGATATTTAATTAAAAATACTTAAAATAAAAATTTTCGGGTTGTCATAGTAAATTTTTGAAATATAATTAATTCATCTTAATAAACTTAATAGTAAAGAATTAAATTTGATTTGTTTATACCAATTAAAGTAGGATTCTCGTAACATAAATTATTTATATATTTAATTCTTTTAATTTTTAAAAGAATACTTAACTCTATTTATTATTTCTCATGAGATTTTTTTATTAGATATCTAATTGTTATCAAGTAATTTTTTATGGTATTATTTAAGATAAAAATGTGAAATCATTTTTAGACTCTACAATTATAATTAATTTTTATTTACACCATTAATATCATGAAAATCAGTAATCAGAATAACTAAATTTAAGAATTCTAATCTATTCAAAATTTATTCGTAATAAGTTTAGGGGCTTATAATGCTATCTTAGGCTTATTGTGTAAACTATTATAAATTTTCATTAAATTTCTGTTTTGCTTTTGTTATTTGTAGGTGTTTCTTCAACAAAAATTTTAATAAATACTAACCAAAAAATCAAATAATAATTTCTAAAAATTTTTGCTTCAATTCACAAATCACATATTTTAACAGATTTAATCTATAATAGTTCGAAAATGAACTCTACCTCATATTTACTTTTTCTTAAATATAAACTAAAATATTAATCTCTTCAAAATAAATCAGTTTTAAAACTTTCTTATTTTTTTTGTTTTCTAACATACAATATCTTCTTCATGATTAGTAGTATTAATTAATAATCTTTATGAAAATGTTTAAAGCAAAAATATATCTGCTTTGGATGTTTGCCTATTTAATTTGTGTGAAAAGCTAGTGTGATGAAATTTTAGATCAAAAATAATGTAATTAAAATACTCAATGCGAATGGGTTTATTGGAAACCTTCAAAATGTTAAAATATCTGTAGTTTATTGACTACTGAAAATACTTGCAACTTTGCAGCAAATTGTAAATGGATAGCAAGTTCATCCTCTTGTTTTATTAAAAAATGTACAGAAGAACAGAGCATTGATAGGTGTGATAAAATAGTATTAATTTAACTAAATTAGGTTGCGTGCACTTAGTAAGATAATAAATGTTGGGACTCTTCATGCATTTAATTATAAGCTAAAGAAGCTGGTAAATGTGCTAATGCATATTGTATTTGGGATGATAAAAGACAACTTTGTTATGATAAAAAATGCTCAGACTATTATAATCAATATGATTGTTCTTAAATGTCATTTTGTATTTGGTTTAAATACAAATGTATTGATAATGGGAATAAAAAACTTGATTTTTGAGACATATAGTATGATTAATATAAATATTACAGATATTATAGTTATTGAAGAAATATATTATTGTTGTTTGTTTGATGTAAAAAGTTTATATCAATATGATCTTTTTGCAATCCTATTTTATATTTAATAAAGAGTTTTTTAATTATTTTCTCATATATAAGATCATAAATTAAAAGTTTAAATTATTAAAACTAGTGTTGTTAGAAATAAAAATTTTGTTCAAAATAATTTTAATTGATTAGAATTTTCGATTATCATTTGACAAAGTTAATAGAGCTTTTCCAAACATAAATCTTGTCTTAATTAAAAAAATTACTTTAAATAACAATTATTTATTTTAAAAAGTATTTCAAAGTCATTTACTTAATTGATTTTAAAGGAAGTATATTCTAAAATTGCTTTTAGATTTTACTCATTAGTTTTTTAATATTTTTGCAGTTTGACTGTTTGGACTTAGTTAAGTATTTATATTTGAAACAAAACCCAAATAACATAAAATGAGGAGAACAGTAACAGTATTTGAGAATTTGTGTTCATAATTTTACTAGAGCTTAAGTTGGATATTCTGATATTTAATCTATTGTCTCATCCATATGAAGAAACTTGATATTCAATTTATCCAATCAGAGATTATCCTGTATTTTATATTAAATGAAAGCCCTAAAATTAAGCTTTTTAATTATATGGTATAAGCAATTCAAGAAAATACTAATTCCTTGAAGATGAATGCCGATAGGAATCAATAATCCATAAGAAAATCAAAAATTCAGAGGTTTTTAAAATTAAAAAATTCTCACAATAGAATCATAAAAATACTTTATTATTTTAATAATTATATTATAGATCCAATAAATAAAACATTCATGATTTTGATTGTTGTCAAAATCTTAAAAATTAATTAATATTAGAAGTTAATCATGTATTTTTGTTAATAAAAAAATATATTGTTTTGGTTTTGATTGATAATTAATAGCATATTTATTATTTAATTAAATAATATGATTTTTAATTAAATGGAGTGTTTTCTTTAACTCATTTTTTGTCTCCAAGTCTTTGCAACCTTGAGATTATTTGATTTGAGTTTTACAGACAATAATATTTAGAATAATAATTGGATTATGGCAAAGACTTGCACAAATGCTTTTTAAGTCTCATTCCAAACAAAAAATTGTAATTAGAATCCACTAAAATATGTTCAATTAACAAGAAATTAAGAATATATATCTAAGTCTTTCAAATAGAGGAGCTTTTAAGTTTAAATAGTTTTAGATGTCTTTTTTATTGAAGCAGATCTCTCAAATTCCAAATTTAAGGTGAGTTTATAAAATTCAGCTAATGAATAAGTAATTTATAGTAGAATTTATGAAAGAGATGACTTGACACAAAATAGTGAAATAATTTGTAATAATTCGTTGATGATTTTGAATTTCTTACAATATCAAGTACAATTAATAATTTAGACTCTAAAGACTTTGTAATTAAAATTTGTTTTGATCCTGATTATCCAGATATGGAAATAGGGATTAGAAATTTGTTAATTTATGTTAATTCCTGTTTTCCAACTTGCTTAACTTGTAATGGTCCTTCCAAAACAGATTGTTTAACTTGTTTTGATAATTAAAGTCTATAGGGCGGATAATGCCTATGTATTTCTGAATAATAATATTCTGAAACAGATATTGGTTGTCGTTAAGAATGCGATAGGGATTATTCGATAGCTAACTAAAATAAAATTTGTGTATAAGACAACAGAATTAAATCAAAATTTACATTATTTGATAATAGTGTTATTCCTTTATCAAATTAAGATAGATATTAACCTTTTATTTTCCTTGCAGATATATTTCATCCTAAAAACACTGATTTAATTTATGAAAATTGTAATGGAATTAGTTTTATTGGCAAGTTTTAATTTAGTGAAGGTATGTTGTATTAAATGAATTTTATTAAATTCAGTCAAATTTCTAAGAATTCGTCTAAATTTTTATTTGTTTGATTTTCAAGAATCAAGTAAAATCGAAATTATATCATAATCAAATTTATTCTAGAATAATAAAAACTGCAACAGGTTTTTTATATGAAAATATGAATAATATTTTTGTA